AGAATTTGAATCAAGAGCTACAAACTGGGGAAAAAGTAACGAGAATAGAGCGAAAGAACAACTCCAGTCGAAGTTTGGATTATCCATCAAAGATTGTGGTCTTTTTATAAACAAAAACTGGCCATATCTTGGAGCTTCCCCAGATGGAATAGAAGAACACTCTCAACACCAGAAATTAAATGTCCATATAAATCAAGAGATCTGACCATCAGAGAAGCAATAGAAAATAAATGTTTACCTTATCTTGAAATAGAGAACGATGAGTACAAATTAAAGCAAAACCACAACTACTTTTTTCAAATCCAAGGACAGTTGAACATTGCCCGCAAGGAAATTTGTTACTTTTCCGCATGGACATTGAAGGAAGTTATTTTGATCAAAGTTCCAGTTGATAATTCTTTTTTTATGGAAAAAATGTTACCTAAATTGAAAAATTATTTTTCAATTGTTTGCTTCCTGAAATAATTGACCCTAGACATACACGAGGAATGCAAATAAGGGATCCTTCTTACATTACTGGCTATATTAAGAAAGTACATAATAAATAATTGATATATTTTAAATTAAGTGTGTTCCTGTTTTTTTGTATTCTTTATTCGAGTAGGTTTATTTATAATATAGAGTAGCCAAAAAAAAAAAACTTATGAGCTGTAAGTTTTTTTTTCTTGACCAATTTTCTTTTGTTTGAAAGAGAATTGAACAGGCTAACGAATTAAAGTGAAACTTTTGAAATTCGAGAAAAATTCAAAATGGCGAACTTCTTCAAAAATTACCTAGTTTTGGATATGAAAAGTTGATATTCAAATATGACACTTACAAAAATTTCAATATTTCACTTTCTTTACCGATTTTTCCTGTTCAAATGTCAAAAGTTTCACTTTGATTCGTTAGCCTGTTAATTTCTCTTTCAAACGAGCCAAAACAAAAGAAAATTTGTAAACAATAAAAAAAGTTACAGCTCAAAAACTCCGGTTTTTTTACTACCCTATATATTTGAAACAAACGTATTTTATTCTAATAAATAGTCAAAAATAAAATACATTTTCTTTCTTATTGCCTCCCTTATTCCTGAATCCTCACTTAACAAAAATAAAATTACTATAGTCGGAAAAAGTGCCGATTTACGAGTGAATCGAAAATTCTATACAATTCATAATGTCACCCATAATTTCATTAATTTTAAGATTTGTTTTTGGAACCGAATTAATTTCTGATGAAAGAAATAATAAAATTTTCACATTTCTAGGTTCTACTAATTTCTAAATGTTTTTTAGGTCACAAAGGTATCCTATACCAAAGTCTCCTAAACCTATCTTCAATTGTTTTTCGAGATACGCGACGGGTGAAAATTTTAATTTTGTATGTTTGAAATTCTGTAAATGAACGGTTCAAGATCAAAAATTCACGTTTAAATTTGAAATTAGTGACAAACTATTGCAAAGTGTCTTTTTTCTACAAAAAAGTATCAGTGCATGCAATTGTTTCAATTACTAGCCACGAAACTTACAAATCCAAAACCACATTCGACTAAATCACATAGAAGCAACATAAAGCCTATCAACTATTAGGTATATTGGAATAAAACAAAATAAAGTAAAATACATAAAAATAATCTTAGTCCTGTCCTAGAGCAAGGACGAACATCGAACAGATTTATGCTTCAAATAATAATTTTATTAATTAGGTAACGGCCCAATTAAGGACCGATTGAGAAGTGTTTTATCTCTGCAAGACCATCCGTGGACGCGTTTCGCTGTATCACAGCTCATCAGCACGGTTTAGGTCCCGCAGAGAGAAAACACAACCCATTTTTGGTTCCATCCCGGAACTGGGTTTGATACAAGTAAAATGAAGACAGGGTCTCCATCTATTTTCTGATCGGCACACTAAAAATTGCTACTAACAACTGTATAAACCAGTATTAAATTAGAGCAAATCGACTCGCAAAGGCATTCGCCACAATTGCGAGAATAGCTATTCTCTCGACCACTCGGTCCTTAATTGGGCCGTTACCTAATTAATATCAATGTTTTTCGGTACCAACCGACTTTACTTCTGGTTGGCAACTAGAAGAAGCTTTTGGAAGTTTAAGACTTCACCTTTGGTCTAGAGTATGCCTCAATTTGAGGGTCCTAGTGCCAGGTTTTACTTAGAAGACTCTAGGCTATATCTAGCCAGCTCCTAGGCTGTAATTAAAGAGATTCTAGACTAGATCTAGATTGCTCTTAGTTGGGCATTGGTAGCCTCCCTTCAGCAACCCTCTTGGTACCGCTCTGCTAGAACCACATTGAGTTCTACGTTAAACAGATACCACGTGGATAGGACTCATGACTCACTTACCATACCGTTGTCTATCTACAGTGATACCAAATATGTAGATAACCTCATTTTTGGAACTTCTGGAATTACACATACATTTGAAGATAACAAACACTTGTATCACATGTAAGTTACACCTTTTACTATATAGGCAAATCCTATGTAAATCACTTGATACTGAATTAGGTTCGGTAAGTGCCCCTTAAATAAAATTCTAGAATTTTGCCCTGAGGTTGCCCTAACAATAACTTTCACCTTTCTGTGTTTAATTTGCCTGTTGGTAAAGTGTAACCCATACTGTATTTTTCTAATCACTCACAAGTGTAAATACCAAAAAGTTTTTAGTCATGTTTACTTAAAATTCATATTTTTATATGCATTATTTACATGCATTTTTTTTTATAATCAAATATTTATAAATCGGTACAAGCCATAATGTATACACATTTTTAACAACGTCCTGGCTATCCCTATTCATTATTGTTATTATTTTTTAATAAAGAAGCCAGATACATTATTGTACCTAATTAGTTGTTTTATTGATAAGCGCTCCAATTGCACAGGTTTTGATATAACATCAATAAGTAATTTTCCTAGTTAAGTCACAATTAACTTGGTGGCGCCCAAAGGTAAGATGAATACAAGGAACCCATAGACCCATGGCCTCCGAACTGAAGCTGACTAGCCGTAGCAGTATAATTAGTCAATTGCCAAAATAAGTACGTTATAGTCAAAAAATAATGTATGGTACTATCCAAACAGTTTGCGTGCTTTATTAATGGGATGTACAGAATAGGTTCTGTCCAAACTTCCCATTGCAATAAGCCTGCGAAGCGCGGCATTATCGAATAAAATTTCATCTTTCACTTCATTCTAATTGTAATGCACACATTGTGCATAATACAGTTAGGCATATAATAGGAAAACTGTCTTATGAAGTTAAGGGCTTAATTTTGAGAACTTACGCTCACTTGAAATCATTATTATCATATTTTCGAAGTATGAATGACTCCCCAACTCCAATAAAAAAACGGATGTTTATAAACGATAATGAATATGAAGATACTCCTGAAAATAAAATTCCAGAGATGTACTCTTTCAATTTTCTCTCTGGAGCGCAACAATATTTGCATTACCGAACTTTACCAAATTTTTAGTTAAGTTAAGAGATAAAATAAATACACGATTAGAACAGGAGTTTTTCGGATTTTTAGTCATGAAAAAATTGAAAAATCATGACTCGAACAAATCTTATGAAATTAAAAATGATTTTATGAATACTTATAAGGTTGCAAAATCATACCTTCTAGACTGAGAGCTGGCGGCCGCGGACGTACTACGGCTGAAATTTTGTGGAGTAGTTGGGGGGACCATCAGGAATTCAAAATAATAAAGACGAAGGATTTGATAACCAAGCAAGGTTACTCAAGGCTTTGGAATCTCGGAAAGTTGAGGAAGATGCTATTGATGCATTTTTTAGAAGTATGGCTATGTTTGTATGGCAGCTCTCGCATTCATCCCAAATAAAAGCTAAAATGAAAATTTGTCACATTGTTGGTGAGCTAGAATTGATGGAGCTACAGCATTCATCATCCCATATGCCTCACGCGACACAACCATCCACTAGTTTCCCAGAACGTTCGGCCTATTCTACTGTATCTCCTGCCGTGCCATACGACTTATCATCCGGAACTTCTAATATGTCATAAGAATACTCTCGACCATCCACCAGTTTTGTCCATGCTTTCAGCTGCTCCTCCTGAAACCTCCCCTATCAAAGAAGTACCTCAAGGTCGTGAATCTTCTGCAAATCCAAATTTGACTTATTTCAATTTTACTTAAATATGATATGTTGAATACTCACATATAAAAATTAAATAAACGTATCTTAGTGTTACCTCCAATTTCTCTTCTGGACTTATTGGATGTTTAACTAGTCCACATGACTGCTTTGTTGGATCATTCTGAATTAGGGCTAATACAAAATTCAACTGATTGATGTTAAGTCGATAAAAGCTTCGAAATTTGCTTTCGTCTTGCAATAGATGTCTACGAACTAACATATTTTCGAAACCCTCTTCTCCTCGGGTACAAAAAATATCATGAGGGCTGCTTCGTAAAGAATAATAATAAAAGTTCTTCGTGTTTAGTTTGCCAGCTCAGTGAACTTCACTCAGTCAATTTGCGGAGTTGTGTTGATGTGTGAAGAAGAGCCATGGAAAATCTATACCTGGAATTTGTTATTGACGCAATAACAGAAAAACCATGTTTGTGGGATTCATCATCAGAAGGCTAGCAGAGGCTAGATGAGAGCCCTAGCTAAACAGACTTACCATTCCAGCTTAAGTGGATTGTGCGATAATTAAATAAATAATAATAATTGAACCCTATGCTGGAACAATGTTGTAAACGACAATGTGTAGAAACGGTATTTCCATGGAACAACGTTGTGTGTACCCTGGATTATTCGCGAACTTAATAATGGGATCATAGGATTTTTTTTTGATGAGTTGTTGATGCCATTTCAATTGACCTAGTTTGTCCTTTTTATGGAACAACGTTTAAAGTGCAACCTCGCCCTAGTTTCGTGCTTGTTTGCTCTCTTTCACATGTGTTGGGTGGGTAGTTTATTGTTCTGAGAAGAAATGGATGTTACTTTGACAAACTCTGTTTTGACACAGATGAATAGAGGCAAACGTCGAAAGATACATATTGACAATTGGAAGCAGAATGTCAGAAAACGTAGGAGAGATAGTGGAGACCCTTACGTTTCGTCTAGGAACGTCCCTAAAGAAGCCTTAAAACGCCAAGAAGAAGTAAGTTGATTTGAATCATGTTCTATTTAAGATTTCGTAACAAAGCCGACATTTTTTTTAGCGATGTATCTGCAAGTGTTCTCAGTCGCCAAATGGGTGCTCTGCCGAATTATTGGTGGGTCAACATCGATCGTTATTCCGGAAGTTCAGAGAGCTAAATTATGATAGTCAATCGCAATACCTATCACGAGCTATTTCCATTCAAGAGCCGAAGAGAAGGAGGGTTGAAGAGGCAATATCCCGCCGCCACACTACTGTAAAATACACCATAAATAATATGCGGGTATGCAAATCAACACTCTGCTATATATTCTCAATCACCCAGAGACGAGTTCAGTACCTTGTGGATAAAATCAAATTTGGTGCAGAGGTAACTGATAAACGTGGAAAACATATGAACCAGCCAAACAAACTTAAGCTAACAGATGCTGAAAAAATATGTGAAAATATTAAGTCATTTCCCCAGCAGGAAAATCATTACAGTAGAAATGCATTCTCAAAGAATTGCCTTCCAGCTGATTTAAGCATTTCAAACAAGAACCGGCAATGAAAAGACTGTTACTTTCCATTACAAGGTAGGTTAAGATAATGACACAAATTTGATCAGTTTCTGAATGTTTGTGGCAGATGATGATGTTTACATTTTTTGTACCTACTTACTATTCAAAAAAATAAAATATTAAATATGCCCATTGTTTCAGATTCGTATTAAAGGCACTGAACATATAATCTGCAGACAGGCATTCTGTTCAATCCATGGAATTACCAGACACCGGACAAATCGTATAGGTTTAACTTTGAAAGAAAAAAATTCCGCGCCATTGGACATGAGAGGTAAAAATAATAACCGCCCTAATAAAATTCCTCAAAATATTATAGCTGCTATAGACAACCATATACTGAGCTTTCCCAAGCGCTCATCACATTATAGTAGAGAGAAAAACGAGGGTCAAACTTATTTATCGTCTGATCTGAACATTTTCAAGATGCGTAAGTTATACTTGGAAAAATATGAACCAGATGTTTCTGAAAAACTTAAACGTGGAGAACAATGTCATCCAAAGGTTACGTATGACTTCTACTTCCGACATTTTCGAGAAAATTACAATATAAGCTTTGGTTCTCCTCGTTCGGATACCTGTCAAACATGCGATAGGTTGGAAAATTCAATAGCAGCAGAGCAGGATCGTGAGGCCAAAGATGTACTACAGATAGTAAAAGCAGTACATATTAGAAAAGCAGAAGTATTCTATACGTCGATGAAGGAGAAAACCCAGCTTGCCAAGACTGATGAAACAGTAGAAGTTTTATGTTTTGACTATCAACAAAATCTTCCTCTCCCGCATGTTCCGGCTGGAGACGTTTTTTACAAGCGACAGCTATGGCAATACAACTTTTGTATTTTCTCAGGAAAAACTGGGTTGTCAACATTTTACATGTACGACGAGGTCACTTCAAAATAAAGTAGCAACGAAGTCATTAGTTTTCTTCACCATTATATTACTATGCTTCTTGCTGACTGTATAGCAACATTGTACCTGTTTTCTAACAACTCGTTTGCTCAGAACAAAAATCATACTATCACCAAGTATTTGTTCACCTTAGTTAATCAACGTATCAAAAATATTACTCAAGTTATTCATCAATATCCTGAGCCTGGTCATAGTTTTTTACCATGTGACCGCTCTTTTGGCTTAATCGAAAAAGAGAAAAGAAGAATAGAACGAGTTTACGTACATGCGGAATGGAAAGAATTAGTAAGAAAAACTAGCAAAAAGTTTCGGGTGATAGACGTAACTCAGGACCTAATAATGGACTTTACCGAGCATTTTGAACCCATGTTTAAAGCAACGTTTACTAGCCAGAAAGGTAAAACAAAATTTGCTATATCAACATCCCGAATATTCAAAAATCAAAGTGGTTGTAACTTCATTGAATGTAGCACTAGCGTTTCAATTCCACTTTCCACTAAATTTTCTGCTACTAAGCTTGGCACTAACTTATCGCTACGTACGACGAGGATGACTCAGGTATATCCTTTGCTAATAAATGAAAAAAAAGGTGGAATATGTGAAGCTATTAGTTAAGAAATATGTACCAGAAGCATACCAAGATTACTACAAGAGTATATTCGGGAAAGAACCAGAACAACAACCACCAGAGGAGTTAGTAGAAGCTCAAGAGGAACCTTTAGAAGACGCATCCCATGAATCAGATTCTTCTTTTATGTAGTTATGTATTCGAATATTATTTTATTTAAGAAATAAATGTTGGTTTTTCATATTTGTGCTTTTCTGTTTAATATTTTGGTGCAAAAGTCAAACAAGTCCAAATTTTCAAGAATCACTTTTGGTGTGATTTTCAGAAAATAAAAATTTTATATTGAGCCATAAAATAAATATCAATAATCAGGCCTATGATGTATCCTGTCCTGTTATTTTACCGGCTGTGTTAAGGCTCAACATCTAGTTCTGTCTCTATTTTGACATATAGAACAAACAGTGACAGATAACGTAACGTTGCTGTTAAAATAACAAAAATGATATAGGCCTGAATATCTATCTTTACATCAAAATTTGGGACAGTTGCAATTTTATTTTCAAATTTAGAAAGTTTTTTTTTTTATTTCCCACAAATTTTAAATTCAGGACTAGGTCGGTTTTTGCGCCAAGCTCTTCTAATTACTCCCCTAGTAAAAATGCCTGTTTACTTAGAGGAAACAGATATACTAGACATGGAATGGATAAGGTAGGCCCCAATTAATTTTGAAAGAGAAAATACATATTTAGAAAGGAAATGGAAATCTAGCATCTGATCACGCCCAGCCTGTGCACAAAAATGAACAGCCGAAAAAAGGTTTTTACATGTAATAATGATAATTTCATTGATATTTATTTATTCTCATTTCATAGATTCAAGAAAACAGTGGTCCGCTTTTCAAAAAGCCTTAATGAAGAAACTTCCAAAAACATATAAAATCAAAGAAAGCACTTCGTAAAGAAGAATGCGAAGCTTTTATTAATGCATATAGAACTGATTTTAACGACGTGGGATGGGTTAGAGTGAAAACTTTTATTTTTAATGAGGGAAGATATAGTTCAAATACTTAAGTTCTTCTCCCGTTTGATATTTTAAAAGATTTTTTTTTTTTCAATTAGATTTTTCACTAACTTCATTCTATATTATAAAGTATCTTTTTGCAGGAGCCAATAATTTTGAAAAAATATTTTGATTTTTTTGAATTTGACTCTGATTCCATTAATATATTTGCACTCATTGAACGTGAGAAATCTATATTTTAAAACTTATCGACCCTTTTCCCTCAGAATTAAAAAAAAAATTGGAACACTCGCTGAGACACTTTATCCCCCTTTTCCTCAGATTCCAAAAGTTTCCTGAACGGTCGGTAAAACACTTCATACATAATTTCAATCAAAATACATTTTACGCACTTTTGGGGACTAGAAGTATAGGTAATCATTGTCGGTGCCTTGGAGAGTGATGTGGTTTCCAATTCAATTTAGGATCAATTTTAAGGGACTAGGGACTAAAATGGCACTTTCAATCCTGAGTGATTAAAAGTAATTCATTAATAACACAATCCTACGGCTCTTTTCTAACCCTCGCGCGCTCGGGTTCGCAATAACGCCCCTTACTTACCATAATTTAAAAAAAAAAAAATCAGTTATTCCTAAGTGCATAAAATAGCGTATAAACCACGGGACTGAAGCATCTTTTTTTCTCCCGACGAATTGTATATACTTATACTTCTCGTCTCGCGATAAAAAGTACGTCAGACCAATGGTATCACTCGATCCCTTTTCGTTTAACTTTTTGAAATTATGGTGATAAGTTTTAAAATATACACAATTTTTTAGATTTGATGATCGTCGTTGTGTGCTGTATACTGCATAATTTTTGTTTGCTTAACACGTTGAGCGCCGTACTGAAAACGGCATATGCACCCTGTGGACCGCAAACGTAATTTTGTATTTTTTCATTTGTTTCTGTTTTTAGGTATTTTAGGGATTATTTTTTGTGGTATAATACTAGTTTTTGTATGTTTTCAATTTTTTTTTCAGTGACCGCCGGCGGACACAAGGCCCCAAGAAGTAAATTTACATCACGGGACCAAAAGACCGGCGAGGGGCACGATTTATTTTTTGCTTTTTTACAGGTTTTTCCGTTTGTCTCAGATTAGAACTTATACAAATAGAAGTACTGAGCAATAGAATGGCAAGAAGAGATTGAAGAAAAGATGGCTCGTGAAATGGAAGATAATTCAGATTTTGAAGGTTCCATCACTGGTTTTTCTGATGATTCGATACAAGATGAAGACTATGTCCAAGAAACTTCATCTTCAGATCCGATTCTGATGATGATTATGATGATGATGATGGTAATGTTATAATCTTGCAAAAAACACTAATATCCCGATAATGAAATGGGATACTGTTTCCGGTCCCAGACGAACTTTCACTGCAACTACCCAAAACAGTGGATTAGATCCCAACGTCGCTGCCTTGTTGAGGGGTAAAAGCCCAGTAGAGTTTTATAACTACTTTATGTGTGATGAAGTTTTACAACTAATTGTCACCGAGACAAACCCAATTTCTGCCCAAAAAGTAACTACCAGCGCCGCTAGCCTCAATTTGCTTGACCGGTTCCTTATCTTTGATTTATTATCATTACAGAAGGAATAGAAACAACGCCATGCGGTAAGAAATAACTCAGACATTGGCCAGAACCAAAATAAATGTCTTATTTGTTAAAACAGATTCATGATTATCATTATTCAGATCTATTTAGACAATCTGGCTCTAATTGGATTAATTGATTGATCACTAACTTATCTATTTCCAATTAGGATGCGTTTTTCTCCGTCGAACAGCCGCAAAACAATTATTCATAGGCGTAGATCCAGGGGTCGCCGCATCAGAACTGCGCCACGACGAAGCTGCGAAAATATCAGGCTGTTACCTTATTGATTGAACTCAGCACTGAAATAATTTACAGTGGTTGGAATCCCCGAAGAGAGAAACTCGGTCAGCAAATTATGTCATTAGCTGACGGTCTAACAGTCAAAAACAGATTCCTCTACATGCCTCCATGCAACAAATACAGCGGCTCAAAAGAGATACAAAATTCAATATAGGTTCCTACTCATTAACTTCCGAGTGTTCATTTGAAGCTCAAAGATATGGACAATGATTCTATGGTTTGATATGTGATATACAATATTCTAAGAGATAATATTTTTGTTTAAGCATCCAAAAAAATTAGATAATAATGCGTCCAAGTTGGTGCTGGAAAGCAATAGGACTGAAGTTGAAAACACATTTCTTGAATTTGTGAAGTGTGAAACCCTAATTTTACCAGAGCCCCAACAACGTTGGAGCAATCAATACGCTCACAAACCAATCTGATGGAGACCAAATACTTGAACCATCACTAACGAATACTCCAACCCAAGAAATCGGTGAAGCGGGCGATCAAATTGAAGAAGATAATGGCAAACAGTGAGAACGAGCCGGCCAATGTGATTATTGTTCAAATTGTTGATTGTATGCCGAGAAAATGTTGCAAGATTTTCTGGTGCTTTCTGCTAAATTTAATGACGATGAGCTGAACATTTTGGAAAATAATAACTCATCAACAAACCCTAGGCTGCGGAGGAAAATAGTCATTATCATAGTTGATGAAATGAGACGTATCAAGCGTTATATACCCATAAGGGCATTTCGTTATATTGCAAAAAAAAAAATGATGGACAAATATCCAGATTTTTTCAAAGATGTTGACGAGGATAGTAACCGTCCTCATAAGCGTCAGCTTGATGATATCTCGCCAGGAAATCCATTCAAAAACCATAATGGTCTGATAAATGCACGTGCAGGATGTCATAATTGGGGCCCAAGCACATCCACTACGTAGTCAAATGAAGAATTGGCAAATTTACAGGATATTTCTAAAACAACAAAACATGGAAGTTTTAATTTGCATAAGGGTAAAAACAGCATTCAATTGGCTATTACTGATTAAAAACCTTCAATCGATGTTACAAACACCGTCGATATCTTAAAGACCAAGCAATACAATCAACATTTCCAGAGAAAAGGTATTTTATCATTTGGTTACAAAACCGTGCTTTGAAAAAAAATCATTCACAAAAAACTCCACTAACGAGTAGGGTCTTTTCAGTTGTATCTCGTTTGTCTCTAGAAAAAAGTTCTTCCTTGATAATTAAAAATAATAAGTGAGACAATTTCTCACCTATACCAAAGTAATAATCATAAAATGGTAAATATCACTGCACTAGTTTCATTTAAAATATATTTTCCAATTTTATAGCTGAATCAAGCCTCTACAGTGTCAGTATACAAAGTTTGGTCTCAAAACCGAAAAGTTAAGAAATTCATTGTAGTAAAAGAAACAAATGTTGTTCAACATTTAATAGCACTAGGTAATGTAAAAATATAGAGAGAGCATGATGGTAGTCGCGATAGTCCTCAATGAGGACGGGACAGAGGTGAGCGATGACGAAGTATTAGGACTGCTCAAAGAAAAACACCTTCATTCTGCTTCAACCAAATGAAAATTGGAAACCACCTCAAGACGATTCAGTGAGTGAATCATCAACTTCAACTTTCCGTAGCGACTTATTCAGACTGTCTGTACTATTAAATGGTGATGTCACAGATACAGATGAAAATGCATCGAAAAATTCTGGCTAAAGATACAACAGTTATAAGTACTGGCACACATTATACTTTTCGTCGCCTCCAAGATCGATCAAACTATTTGAATCGACCCTATAAAAGGAAAATTGACAGAACTCCATTCACTCACGCGTAATTCCCTGATGAACAAGAGTTTAGCCAAAAATGTAACAACATTGTAGATTTTGGAGAGAAGAAAAATTATCAATGTGGGTAAGCAGCTATTATTAAAGGCATGCTCTGCCGGCATTTCAACGATAACTTGGATGGATTCGTATTTAAGTTCAAGGTACACTTTTTTGAGAAAATATAGCATATTTTTTCAATTTCTTCAAACTTAGGATACAGAGCCAACAAACAAAGAGGACCCTAAAAAGGTCACTACGCTGGAGCCTTGCATATTGGAGATAGGTATGTGAACTGAAAAGTCTTTCATCTGATGGCATGCAGACTTTTTGACACAAATACTTAAGAGCCCTTTTACACGGCAAAGTTTTTTTACGAAATTACTCA